CAAATTTATTGACTTTATGCCAATACCGCCCAGCCTTGACCAATATAACTTCATAATAAATTAAATTTGAAATCATATTTTGTTAATTATTCTTTTCTTTATTAAGCCTTTTCTTGGGAAGAAGGGCTATTCTACATTACTTGCATTACTATGCGAATTCTAGAATCAACTTGTCCATTTATTTCTACCAAGGAAAATAACCACGGGCATTTTGCTTAGTATTATATTGAATCTATATTGATAAGAGGGAGAATTGTTATCTCAATATCATGCTGTATTTATAAACTTAATAAATATATTTTTGCATTTATTTAGGCCTTCTTTAATTGCAACAATATATTATAGTTTTCGCCATTGAGGTCTCATACATCTATTTTCAGATTCATCACTATTGCATATTTTTGATTATCATATATAATTGTTAAATTTCAATTTGATGTTGTTTATTGCTACTATGTAGAAATGCAAGTTACTTTTTTGCATTGTTTTTATATTCTATAATCTTGATAAGATGACTTTTAATTTTAATACTATTTTGGTAACTTCCATGGGATTTTCCAGATGATATTATCATCTGAAACAACAATCTTACCTTTTTCTTCCCAATATGGATAGCTTTAATTCATTGTTTTTATTGCACTAGCTGATTTTTGTCAAATACATTTCTTGAGTTTATTTAGATGATCAATTAGGTTTTTTTTTCAGTTTGTTAACATAGTGAATTATATTGATGGATTTTTAAATGTTAAATCAATCTTGCATTGAATATCACTTAGAAGTATTATTTGTTCTGCCTATTGAGAGTCTTGATTTTTTATTTTAATTTAGAAATTTTACATTGATGTTCATAAAGGATATAATTTATAGTTTTCTTACAATGTCTATGTCAGTTTTTCATATCTTAAAAATGCTGACTTCATAGGTTCATAGGGTGAGTTGGGCAGTATCATCTCTTTTGCAATTTTCTGGAAAGTTGTGCTTTTTTTTTGTTTTGTTTTACTGGGGATTAAACCCATTTCACCACTTAGTTTCATTACTTTACTAGATATAGGACTATTTGGCTGATCTGTTTCTTCCTGTAAACTCTGATAGTTTATGGCTCTCATGGAAGTTGCCCATTTTATCAAGTTGTCAAGGTAATTTGGTTAGAAATTTAAATACTTTATTGATCTTATTTTCATTGATTAAAGAAACAGATTCTGGTTTCATTGCCTTTCCTAAAATGTTGCTGCTTCATAGTTCATTATTGCTGCTTAGATATTTATTATTTCCTTTCTTTTGGATCAATTGGAATTATTCTCATTTCTTTTAGTTTCTTAAGCTGAGGTTAGTGATATTATATATTTTTTTTCCTAATATCGATGTTTAGGGCTATAAGTAACCACTGAGTATAACTGTAGTGACATTACAAATTTTATATGTTATTTTCTCATTTTCATTCAATTCAAAATATTATAAATTTCACTTGTGATTTCTTTGATACATGAGTTATGTGTTATTGGGTTATGTAATTGCCCAATATTTATACTACCCCCATGTCCCACAAATAAAACTGTGTGGAACATATAGTTACTGCTGATTATCTGGAGAGATCACAGGGCAATAACATTGTTAATCCTTTCTGATGGTTCTTTCCTAAAATTTGAATCCTTTCCTCACTAGTATGTGTGCGTCAGCAGGCAGCTGAATACTCAAGTGGTCACTTCTGCATGTCTCCTGAGTTCCCTGTCCATGCACCTCTTTTTTTCTCCTGTGCATTGTTCAGCAAACTCTAGGGGCTCTGATCTTTCCAGGCATTCAGCTTCATCTCTTCAATTCATGGTGTCCTGCAGGCTCTGTCTAGGATTCTCTTACCACCACTGAGGATTAGAAGCTTTTTCAAGGCAGTAAATCAAGGCAATTTCGGGGCATTTCTTGTTTGTTTCCCATCTCTCAGGACCACTGTCCTTTATGACCTGCTGTTCAATGTCTCGCAAGTGTTGTTTCAAATATATTTGTTCATTTTAAAAAATTGATTCAGGTGAGTGTTAGCGAAGGGGAAAATGTAAAGTCTGTTACTCCAGGTCTCCAAGTCTAGATAATGTTTTCATTTTTATTTTTCAACTTAAAAGATATTTTATGTAAACTGATTCATGAGTGTGGGAAAATAGTCTCTATCCTTGATTATTAGATCACAGTCATTATCCCAAAGCTTACTGTGGGAGTATAGAAAGAGTTATTTTACAAAATATTAATTTCTTCTCTGGGCAGGGGGTTGCTAGAGCTACATCTTGAATGACACTTAGAGCAACAATATTTTACATGTATGTTGTATATTCTGGTCTTCAAGGATTTGCATGCATTTTCTCATTTCATTATCTATGATTGAGGTCAGATTATTAAGGGCAAGGTTGTTAATAAGTGATTTCAAAAATCCTGTGGTTTGCCCAATGTTGCACAGCTTATAACCATCAGTATAAGAGATGCCAATAATGACACACTTTTCGTGTATTTGAAAGGGTACTCAGCACTATGTGCATAATCTCATACAATCTTTCCCTCAAATATATGAGGAAGTGTTCTGTCCTTCCTGTTCTAAAGATAATCAAACTAAAGCTTCAGAGCCATAGTACCTTACTCAAGCTTATCAGAAAGTGCCAGGGTTGGGTTTTGAACCCAGGTTGCGTCTTGAAATCCTAGTGCGTGCTTGGAACCTCAGTCTACCCTCTATGGCTTTGAGTCAGACCTGAGGCCCTTGTTGCCTTTGAACTCCCTGTTTTAAAATCACCTCAACTGATTCAAAAGTGGCAATAAATCTATTTTAAAATGGACGAAAGGATATATATGCTTAGAAACACTGTTTCTTGTACTATTATTTATGAAATTCAAGAGTTTGGTGACAATCCATATTGGTGACAATTATGCTGATTATTATTATTCAAAGATTATTATTTAAAGAGAGATGGTAGTTTTCATGGTAATTCAAAATTTGGTTAGCCTATTGTATGACCAATTATTTTATATGGCTATTCATTTCTCAGTTCTATCTAATGTTTTAATCTCTAGCTATCCTCCGACATTTAATACTTCCTATTGCTCTTCCCTTCCCTAGCTTTCTGTTTTGAAAAACAGTCACTCATGAGTACTTTATTTCTTAAATATTCCCAAGAGACTATTTACACACACACACACACACACACACACACACACACACACACACAGAAACTCCTTCATCATTTTCTAAAAATCTGATCATTCGCATGCCCACTAGCTGCATTCTTTCTGTCTCCCTGATAGCTGTATTATAAATCCTTTTATATGTTTATGCTTCTGTTACATTTTCTGACTAGTGTCTCCTTGTTTATTATGTTAGTCCACTGAATTCCTTATTAACACATCTTTCAGCTAGATGGAAGAGTATCCATCTAATTCAAAAGCTCATAGCACATAGTCAAAATGAAGGTTAGACTAGTGGTAGGGAATCACATTTAACAGAAAAGTCAAAAAGAGGTAAATAAAATTTCAAGAGAGAAAACGAAATGGTAACCAGTAGTATGAGAATTAATAGCAATGTTGTTATGTTGATTTTTTTTCTTATGTAATCCCAGCATAATACCAGAGTATTGATTAGTGATGGGTAAATACTCTTGTTATTGCATGTAAGGGAAAAAGCAAATTGTTTGTGAGCTTATTTTGTGTTTCATTTTTTCCTTCTTCCTTCCTTCGTTGATCTCATTTTTCTTTCCTCCCTTCCTTTCTGTCATCTCCTATGTCCTTCACTTTGAGAACTACATCAAGTAACAAGTTTGGTTTTTCCAAATGTCCTGGAAATTTCTGCAAATATGTACCATGGTCCTTATAGAAACTTGATAGCTCTAAGTCTAGTTCTGAAATTTGCTTTCCAGGTTATATCAGACTATAAATATATAAGTAAATATGGAAATAAGAAATTTTCATTAATGGTTGTCTCAGACATCTGTCTACAAGGAAGATTAAGAGCCCAAAGCATAGTATAACAAGGTCATTCTAGTGCTTCTAAAATAATTCATTTATCCCCAATCCACCAAAATCAGCATTATAAAAATTGGGATTTTTATCCTCAAATGTTAACATTTTCTTATAAAACATATTTATATTATTAGTAAAATAATAGTTTTAAAATAACAAATTTAAAGGCATGAATATTAAGCTTTACTGATTAATATACCTATACTTTAATAATATTGCTATACAAAGGATTTGGGCAGAATAACAGTATATCAATATTTCACATTCAATTTTAGGAAGAAATAAATGATATTATTAACTCAATCACTTAAAAATAATGCTGTGCATGTTTTGAAGGAAAAAAATATGCTAGCCTTTATTTCTTAACATAAAGGCACATTTGTCATTATTTAAAATTTTTGAATGTAATAAATATTAAAATTATTTACTTCCTAATATCATATTTGTGAAGAAAAGGTAATCCTAAACAAGTATACGCTAGGAAGATTATTCATTAAATAAGTTTGCATTTTTCAAACTGATTTATCAAATTTATAAAATAATAATGTCTACAATTATCAACATATTACTTTAAGAATTATCTAGAATTCTTTGACAATAAATCAATCTTAATAGTTATTTGAAAACAAATTAAAGCAGAACTTGCAAATTCCAATTGTACAAACATTTTTAAACTTCAGTTCCAAAACATGAAATGATTTCAGAATAATATTTCATTTAAAAAAACAAAGCAATTGAAACCCCTATTTTCCTTTTATTATGAATAAAAAAACTTACTTTTAAAAACTTAAAAAAATAGTTTTAAATCCCAATTTTATAGCAAATATTTCATGCAATAGGACTCTAACAAGGCTTCTAAGTAAGCATTAAAATGACCAACTGATCAGTAAATTGCATCATTTAGCAAAAGAAAATTTGACAGCAAATTACTAGGTCTGATATGTGCATGCTACAGCATACTATGTTCAGAGTTAAAAAACAAAAAAACAAAAAACAAAGTAAAATGCAATTACCCTAAAAGACATTTCAAGATTCTCTCCACCCCAGATATCCATTCCTGCATCGTAAGTTCCTATCTCTTCAAAGTAGTTTCTGTCAATAGAAAATAGGCCACCAGCCATAGTAGGGGTCCTAGTTGAAAAAAACAAAAACAAAAACAAAACAAAAACAAAAGAATATCTTTTGAAATCAATGTGTGGTGTTTAAGGAGACTGTAGCAAATATTTTTTGACATTTTAAATATAAAAACTAGTATTTCAAAAGTTCAAACTAGAAACACAAAAACAAGTTACAAGAGGTTTTAAGATTTAAAAATTACATTTTATTTCACATTTTCTATAAACTCACTTTAGATGAGTCTATTTCTGTCTTATATGTGATCAAAGAGCTATATGGAAGGAACACTGACCCATTAAAACTGGGGCTTCTACATTCCTTCTGAAAGCCAAAGTGAGGTCACTTTGCACAGTCTTTAAAGAGATGAACTAATTCTCAAACAGTCATGATCTTTGATAATATAATTATAAATCATTTTAAAATAAACCCTAGGAAACTAAGGACATGCTTTTTCTCTTAAAAGATTTGTACTCTAATTAAATATGAAAAGAAGTAAATGCTATATAAAATGCTTATATGAAATAAGTATCTAATTATAGTTACAAAATATTTTTACATGTACTTATTGTTTCTCTTTACCTACGTCAAAGGGTAGAATTTATTATCTGACCTATGGATAAACAAAAATCCTGTATGCTATTCAGCATTTTAGGACCTAATCATAAACTCCAAAACTTTTCCTTAGTAATAAAAGCCTTTATTTTTGTTTTTCATATTCAAGTTTTCTTACAGGATACAAGAAATTAGGCCTTAAGTTTTTAAAGGTCTAATTAATTTTCAAAAAGACTAATTAAGGACAATGGTTCATGTATGAGCTACAGAAGATTTTATACATAAACCGTATGAGATAATGATTAAAAAATTGTTCACAAATAGAACCAGATTGGGAATCATTTTTGAAGGGTTAGTTGTAATATTGTGGTTTCCAACCTCATAGCACATTAGCAGCATCAAAGCATCTATCAAAAAAGACATCCATGCTCAGTTACCTCCCTCCACGGATTCAGATTTAGCTGGCCTGTGTAAAAACCCATGATAGCATGTACAGCTCCTTAGCAATTCTAATATACTATTAAAGAACAGAAACACTGATCTAATAACTTAGATTTTTATTGCTCGTGTCTGTGAGAATGTTAAAGAACCAACTATTTTGGTTTTCTTGAAACTGTATCCTCTGTCACAGGCTAGGTTCATGTCTTCTAATGAAACAGTTTATTTCATTGAAAATCTACCAAATAATATTGTACTTGGACATCAACCATATTGCAAAATTCTCTATTTCTCCCAGTGCTCTCACTATTTTATACTCAGGTAATTAACTGTCCATCAGTTGGAGTAGCAGAGCCTTGCTTAGTCTCAGAGCCGTTTTATTACTTTTGGTCTTGCTAGGTTCCTATCATGAACAGCATCATTGACCTTCTGAGTTATAATGAGAAATACTAACAAAGCTAAACAGATGATAATTATGGAGTAGCCATGACCTCACCTGATTGGGGTTTTGGAACTCTATAGCAATAACTACATAAGGTAATACAGTGCTAGAGAGTCTATTTAATAAAATTAGCRACAAAAATTGCTGCAATTATCCTATCATGATGCAACCAAATGCTTAAGAATGTTAAATGATGCATTTTAAATGATCAGTTCAGAGAGCATATATATTTATCTGCTTATAAATAAAATACTAACACATTTTAATGTGAAAGCATGTGTTCAATTTCATCTTACTCTTGGTCATTATTCCTATAAATATGTGAGAAGTTCATGAAAAAATGGCTAGAAATAAACCATATTAGACCATAAGAAAGACTCAAATAACTTTCACATTCAGTTGAAGAGTAGCAAAAATTAATAAAAGAAAAATCCTGCAAAAACAATTCTATATTTTCTAAAGACAAGTATTCTTAGAGAGGCTTGTGTGTGGATAGGCACATGYATATTTGTGTGTGTTGTGTTTGAGATATTGATTGGCTCTTTCACAGTCTATAGATTGTGGTTCAGATACATACTCCCTTTAGCCATGGTCATTGTCCTACTACATGTTCTGTTCTAAGTAGACTGCTCTGTAGTGTCCCTAATGAACTATTTATATGTGCCTATATGCAGCTTGAAGGTCTCTAAAAAAAGACAAACTTTGATTGTAGTTGAATTATCTGAGGTTATTTGTTTTTCAAGTTTGTGTCCATACAGTATTAAAACTACTGACCAATCAATCAGTTAGTTTGGGAATGGGKAATCATCTCAATGTAAACACGATCTACTACAAAGTAGGCCAAGATGAATTGAATGAACAGAAGTAAAGCATTTAGCTCAGTGTCCAGCACATCAAAAAGAGTTAACAAGATTTGATTATTTATCTTTGCTATTATTATTGATGTTAGTCATTCACACAGTAGCCATGAGTGTCCTTCACTTAATTTTGGCTCCCCATATACATACTCTTTGTGTTGCAAAATAATTCATAACTACTTTTTATCTATCATATTGCCTCTGAGATCTGCCTCTGAACACAACTTCCTACTCATTAACCTCTCCTATTTCCATCAAAGTTGTTTTTCATCCCTAATTAATAGTTATGGTTCCTTAATTAATTCATATTCTCATATTAATAACCTCCTTAGGGAATTTTTTCTTCCCTCCTCCCACCCCCTCTCTACCATGTCAGTGAAAAATAAGCTTAGTACCCTTGGTTCCCTGTTTTTGCATTGTCTGACCCAATTTTCTTTCTGTAATTCTATGTGCCTGGATAAACTTACCCTTTACTTCATCTACATCTGCTACTAAGACCCAGAGTAATGGAAAGTAATGAGATGAGGCCAACTGATTATACTACAAGCCCATGTTATTGACTGGATTGTCTGCTTAATTCACAAACTGATAATAATCCTTTTATCCAAGTTTATTGATACATGTCTAATTTTTGAATAAATGTTTTCCAAAAATTTTGAATTCACTTAAGAACCCTGGAATTAGGGAGGTGCATGAAGTCTAAACTCCCTCAAACTCTAGCTCAATATGTTTGAGTCTTCCTCATGACCCTCTCTTTCCTCTTGTGTCTCAGGATAGAATACCTCTGCTCCTATGCTGTGGGCTAACATTCACACTCCTGCTCTATCCTGCATACTGTGTCAGCCACTTGTTCACTGACKACTGCATTTAGTTTTATGCCTTTGATTTTTAGATTGTCCCCTGGAGCTTACAAACATGCTCAATTAAGTTCTCTCCTAAACCAAAATACATCTTCATTCCATTATACAACTCATTCAAACTAGGGACATGCATTTCTATTCCCTCCACTGGTAACCTTATYGAAAGGATACTTTCCACCTACTCCCTCAACTCCTTTTGACCTTCAAACTAAGAAGCTTGGATCCTGCTCCCATTTCWGCAATAATTTCTTTCTGGAATTTCATTGTTCTATAGAGGTCATTCCTTCTACTGATTTGACCATTCATTTTGTAWTTTTTACTGACATCCCTTCCTTTTCCTCCCTCTCTAGCTGTAAGACTTTGGACATATTCTTAGTGTATATGTATCACATAAGTATGATATGTCACTAAAATGTTTTTGTGGATATATGCACTTAGCAATTATCTTCTCTTGTCCAAAACGGGTCTTTAGAAGGGCATCTCAAGAGTGTCTCTTGGCATGTTACTCTTTCTCTGCTCTTTACCTGGAGACGATCATTTGCACATGCCTATAACTGTGTTTATGAGGCTGGTGCCTTATCTGTTCTCACTTCCCTGGGTGTCAATTTTGCTTTTCTAATTACTCATTTTTATTTCTTCCCAAAACCCTCCAAATTCTATAGGCTGTTATTTGTAGTGGTTAGATAACTCAATTTCTAGACTATTGGTATTTAGGTCTATTTTAGTAACATGTCTCAAATATTATTCATAATTAAGATAATGGATAAAGATGAGTATTTTATTTATTATCACAYTTGTATAAAGAGTGTCTTGAAGAACTTAAGTCTTCACATACTTCTGAATTTTTACATTATACAATACAATGGTTTTGTTTGGTTCAGTATTTTCCAGACGTAGAAACCAAAGGAAAATGAAATGCTATGAGTTTCCCTTTCTGCCTCATCCTGTCCACAGCACTCAGTACAGAGAGCTCAGTGGAGAGAAAGAAAGCAAAGGCACAAACCCTCTTCTATTGCAGCAGTGAATGTCAAATGTGAATGTAATTTAAAAATTTTACAGCTGAAAAGTGAAAATTTTGGTGGAATATTGTACACTGCACAATCATTTGTGCATACAATTGGGGATAAAGATGCAGCTTTCTGTAAAGAGGAAACTTACTTTAAGGGCRTATGCTGGCTTAGACTCTGAGCAGTGAAGCTTGCTCAAGTCCTTAGAGTCTATGAAACACAAAAGAAGTCAATACTATTTGTAAAGGTTGAGAAAAAATATAAAGTTCTGTTTAGTATTGGAAAATGAGTTGTTTTGGAGTCCAAGAAYCCATTTACCAATAAGTGTGTAAATTAAATACCTTAACCTGTGCTTAAAGACCCTCTTTCTAATAAAAAAAAAAGCAGATACTTTCTACCTTTTCTCTCAGTAGCTTTTTATAATCTTCATAAACTGATACAACCCCAAGCTTCCAAAAGGWTGTGTAATAGTTGGTACAAACTTAATATTTCCTTTGATTTTYCTTTTTTGCCTGAGAAGGTTCAAAATAAATAATAATACTAGCTGGAATCAGATGCATGACAATGCTTTGACTAATATGATAACATTATTCAGTATATATATGTGATATTTAATTCACAATCCTGAATCTTTCTATGAGATCTCTGCTATCTTCTCATCTCTACAGTCTGCTAAGAAAAGTCTTGCAAAACATTAGGAAAYAATATAAAATAAATATACTCTTTCTATATAGAATATAGGTTCAAAGATTCCATCTGAGATGAAAACTTTTATCTCTTGAAATCAACATATTTTAGATTTTAATATGAGGATTTAAGAATGTCAAACAGTTGAACATCCCAATTTCAAATCGTTTCTTTCAAAGCATTTGTTCTGTTCATGATGTTGATCCTTCCCTATGMCAGTATTTTAATATCTCCAATTTGTATAGAAGTATCTTAAAGGGGCTGGGGATGTGGCTCAAGCGGTAGTGCACTGGCCTGGCATGCGTGCGGCCCGGGTTCCATCCTCAGCACCACATACAAAGATGTTGTGTCTGCCAAAAACTAAAAAATAAATATTAAAATTCTCTCTCTCTTTCTCTCTCTCTCTCTTAAAAAAAGAAGTATCTTAAAGGTTTTGCTGATATCTGTTTCTTTTCTCAAATATGAAAGTATTTGGGTTGAGAAAAGCTGAATGAAGAAAATCTAGTAGATTTAAATTAAGAAACAAACTGTTAGTTACTATTAAGTATAAGATYCTTTATTTTTACATAAGAAATTATAGAATAAAATGTTTATCATTGATTATACTAACTAAAGAAATTATAAGTTAAAGACAATGACAACATTTCTTATTTTGGAGGAGGGCAGAATCATAACACTAGCAGGAGGTACCAAGAAACCAATTATATATTAGTAAGCAAATTTCATAAAAACCAAATTTTATATTATCAAATTGCAAAATTCTGAAAAAYACACATCATATGAAAAGAGTGTAGGTTAAAAAATAAGAAATAATTGGTAAAAAATAAAAAAAATAATAAAGTGTAAATAAACCTTGATTCACTTTTGCTACAAAATAAATAGTGGGGGAGCTAAGTAAGTGAGGCTTTAGCAGACATTAAGACTTTTATTTGTGAGAAAAAGAATACCTTAATAGCTTTGGAAAGTACTGATAAATATCATCAGTGTCAAATTTTAAATGAATCTGGAAAGAAATACTCTGGAAGGAAATAAACAAAAATATTAAAAGAGGTGGCTGGCTAATTGTTTTTATTCTTTTGGGTTCTTTTCACATCTATTTTGCAACACATGTGTGTTCCGTAAATTTATCATCTACTTCTGACAAATATATTACTCATTAAATAGTTTATAGCACTTCATGAGTTAAACAAGGCATGGAGGAAAATTCCCATTTTATATTTAAAAGAGTGGATCAATTCCTCAAATGGAGAAGCCTGCAAAAACTTGACCCTATCCCACAAATTCAAAACTTCTTCTGTGATTACAACAGTAGAAGGATTCACAAGACARTGCGTATGAACACCCTGAGCCTTTAATGATATGAAGACAGAGWAGTTGCAATTCAAGATTMTATCAATCATGTTATTTGATATTTTTAAGAAATTCCTAATTCTAAATAAGTGCAAAATAGATGCATGAGTTGAGACTGATGTTGATAAAATGGGATGTATAATAAGTAAATAAAATATGTCAGGAATAAAATCTAATAATTAAATTTATGTTTGATTCATTAGACTAGCTAAGGAGTAATAAAAAATCTAAAACTCCTTTGTTGTACTTTAGAATATACTTAACGTGGTACTCCACATACAAATGAAAGAAATCATATTAAGAATATGAATAATGACAAAATGTAAGTGTCCGTAAGGTAAGATATGGAGAGTAAAAAAGTTATACGGATTTGAAAAATAACCAGTAGTTTTCTAATTAGGAAATCTTTTTTAAATATCCAGAAATTAAAGGGAAAATGAATATCTTTATAACTATTTATTGAGGGTCACTTATAGGACATAATTAAAAAATTAATGCAATCCATAAGATTTAAGACAGGTTCTTTTTCAGAACTATTCACCGCTCTAGTAGTACACACAATTCACTCCTATGGAGCCACCCTCAGACCTCATATTCTGGCCTCTCCCTCTCTCTCATCTAGCATACATATGACCAATGCCAGAACATGAACAATATTAGAGCAGAGATCTCTTTATCTATGTTTGTATGTGAAAAATCTAACATAGTGCGGACAAGTGTGTCTGTATGTGTGTTTTCCTGTGGAATCAGAGTCATCTCAATAGCTTAGACCAAATCACATTAATTTTTGTGTTAATAAAAATATATACCATGTCYTCAGGTATACTAAATGATTTGTAGKWTTATCTGCATTATYAAGTCATTTTGCTATTCTTTGTATTTCATTAGGCAACATAAATGTGTATTCTTGGAGGGCTAATGTTCTTTATGTTTCAAACTCAACCATTCCTCAAGTTGAGGRTCACACATTTAAAAGGTTAAAGCCAAACAAAGTTATTCATGCAAAGTCAATTGGTTGCAGTAAATGTATTTCTCTCAACTTTGCTTGGCACACAGATGCTGAGAAATATTTCTCCAAGTATATGAATGGTGACAAGTAGCAACTGACCCTCAGGCTCAGAGTCTGAGACAYACTTATAGGAGTTTTGAGGGAGTAGGCTAAACTTTCCAGTTAATTTCATATGGGCATTTTCTATTTAGCTCTGCCTAATGGTGCCAAGTAAGAATAAGGAGATATTGTGGCAAGATTCTTTAACTTCTCAATAGCTGGAAACCCAGATGTTATTTAATACTTCTCATTTACAACTGATGCTACTTTTTGAAAAGACAAAACACTACGTAGTCCAACTAAAACACAACTACCAGGCATTTTTTGGCACACAAGCTCCTAGTTATGACCTCTGGCTTAACAATTTGTTTACTCTATTGTTGCATGCATAATTGAGACATTCCTAAAAACTCATACAATTTACTAACATGTCAAGAGACTTTACTGATTAAATCAGACTAAATATTCAGGACTCATGCTATTATTCCATACTCTTAATTTAAAAACTTACTCCACATACTACATCTATTATGAGAAAGAAAACACTAAGGACTAGAGACTGACCCCCCMAAAATAAGTATAACCATTATTAGCTGGACTCTAAATGTAGTATCACTGAATGTAGRCCACCAGTTCAAGTTGGTACTATTTGCAGATACATGATTGTATTTYTATATGATGACCAGCCAAGTATGATGACTACAAAGTACTGTCATTAGTGACATTTTAAATGAAGCATTCCACTAAGAAAACTAAAATTTCAACCTCATTTTAATCACTTTAGCTATTCAGAATTCTGTTAATCATGTGGGAAAAAAATTATCTTCAACGCCTGGAATGATTTATCTATTTGTATGAATGTGAGAAAAATGATCACATCTTCAAGTAATAGATTACAAGTACAAAGAAAGTTCACATCACAGCTATGCTGATGAAAATTACCTGCAGGCTGTTACAACTGAGCCAGTGAATTAATTAACCTTTTGCCATAAAAATCTAGAAACTTCAGCAGACACTGCAGTTTCTCCACTTCTCTTCCTCTAGCTTCTTCAGTATTTTAGAAAATGAAATGGTGTGTAGTTACTAGGCAAATAAAATGCTGAGACTTTTATCAGTTCTCACCTTACTTCAATAAAACCACATGAATTCTGGTTAAATACAGAGAGTTGGGTGATTCATCTTTTGTTTCAGTTAATGAAAAATGAGTAATTATGGTTGATTTCTGTGTAGATCTTTACGTCCATGAATCAGATCAGTAATTTCTTACTGTGAATGGATAGCTACCTTAATTATGTATCTTTTGACTCTGAGAAAATGAAGTTTAAAAAAATCTTTTTTTAAAAAACAAGTACAAATGTGTATCCTTATAAAATTCATTTTCAAATCAATAAACACATTACTTATATAAGTGCATTGGTCAAGCATTTTGATATTTTTAATTTGGGCTTTGAAGCTTAAAAACCAGCTAACACTAAATGAAGCCAGGATCTAGCTAAAGAGGATTTCTAATAATGGTGGTATTATGTATGAAACACTGTATTTATTCAGGTTGTTAAAGGTAACTATTATTAGAACTGGGTGAAAGTGATGACACAAGACTTAAAAACTACTAAATTTTGCTTTAAATATTGACATGATAATTTCCTTGTCGTTATGCAAATTTTAGGAGTCACATTCCATTCTAGTTGATGGGGTAGTATTTCCTTAAKAAGTTAATAGCTGATAATTTTTGATTACTCAATAACAAGTAATTAGAGGTGCTCTCCTCCATTAGACAATTTTTAAGATTARTTTTTGATTACTAAGTAGTTAACAATGAATAGATCATGCTCTCAGTAGTTTGCCAGAAAGMAGTTTTTAATAGAATGGATTATATGTATGTTATTTTAGAATTTTAGGATATTTCTCTGTTGTTACAATAGAATGATGATTTGCCGAATTCAACTTTAAAGAGTTAAATTAGTGAATATTTCCTCCAAAAATWTTTAGGAAACCAATTTTTGATTGTAGGTAAGAAGTATACAGCAATGTGTTAAATTAGGAAGGTGATACTTTTGTGATAATAATACTTATCTAGACAATCAAATATGCATAATATTCTTTTTTTATTAAGGGAACATAAATATTTTACTAAAAAATATTCCAAATAAATAGCTATTTGAAGTAATTTGAAACCAACAATAAATCCTTCAAAATTGTTAATATACTAAAGTTTTCCATATGGTTCTTTAYATTGTCTCTAAATGAAGATAACCATTTAAAGGATGATAAATTTAGATATGTACCAAAACATTTTTTGTTAATTCAGTTTTGAGAATATGTCTACTATGAAGTATAAACTTCTAAATAAGACATATATTTCCTTGATGTATMCAGTGTTGCACATTCCTGTCACATAAAATTTGTAGTAAATATATTTTGAATATAAGAATATATAAACCTTTAAAGCWTATTTGGCATTTCTACAAATAGTTCGGTTTTCCCATATTAACTTAAAGTAGATTTAATATCATATAGATACATTTTACCCTTTACAATCATGTATGTATACACAGGAATAATAAATTTAGGACTGTAGAATGATAAATATTAGAACAAAAATTTATAATATTATTTAACTTTTATAGAAACACACATGCTATTCATTGTTTGGTATGACTTACCTGACAGGCAAYGTTCTGTCTCCTTTCCTCCTATCCATTTCTCTTTGGGGAACAGGATACCAGCGGAAATTTAGTTTCCAGTTAAAACCCCCATAAGTCATATCTGACCCAGCCATATATTCAAAGGTATCATCACTAATCACATCAATGATGGGGCATACGACTGTTTTCCTGAAGAAAAATTAAAACCAGTTTACATATAAACGATCATTTAAATGCTACATTAGCTTCTTTAAATTGGTTTTAGCAGCTAAGATATAATTYAATTATTTTGTGACTTAAGTATGSCTTAATTTTATTTTGTCCTTTTACTCTAGGAAATTATTTCCTTTTATTATATCTTTCTGATGGTAAACTTTATGTAATCATGTAAAATCTAATCAAGTACATGAATTGACCTTCAAGTTGATTTCCAAGTGTATTCCAAGTACTAACTCATCAGGGTGAAAATGATCTATTTTTTTATAAAACCTCCACCCACAGCATGATTAGTAGATTCATTTTGAGATTATGCATCATTTCAGCTACAGCCCACTGAAAAGTGATAGAATATAGGGAGAGGGAAATGGATGCTAAAAMATTAGGTCTGATAGTTTGCCTTTCAAATTGGATTGGTTATGTTAAAGTAAGGGTTCTGAGAAAATCTTCATGAAGAAAACACCTACTAGGAAACACAACAAACAGAAACAATTAACATCATGAACTATCAGAGTAAGTAAAGCTTCCCATGAAGAAAAACGGGTTTATGACAATTTSTGAGTCAACTGTCCTATAACTAAGAATTTCCAGTTGTTAACAATCCAGMTGAAATTTTAAGACAGGGAAACATTAGCCATTTTAGTCTCATGTTTTCTCCTACTCCTAAAGTTAGAATGAAGCCAGGATGTTTTATGTTCTTGATAGTAACTTTTAAGATGGTAGRTTTTAGAACACTTTACTTGGGGAAATCATTAGGTACTCTTTTAATCTAGGTTTTGCCTTCTCTCACTCTTCCCCTACTCCAAGTTTATGTGTTTTCTTGTGGGCTAAACTTTCTGTCATCTACACAATTAAAAGTTCAGGTCTCCCCAGGATAGCATTGATTGTAGCTAATTCTGAAAAWCAGAGGTGTTTTTCTTATTGGGTAGGAGAAAAATATACAAACAGGCTCCAAAGTAACCCATAGATGTAGAAAGAAATGAAGCATTGCCCATTATTTCTTCTTGTTTTGTAACACTAGGATCATCAAAACTATTAACTTAGTTTCATGTTTCACACTATTGGCCAACCCTGAAGTTCTCTGAAATCAGCATGATGCACCTGGCCTTGGAAAAGTTTCTTGGTGATTCTAAACACAACAAAGTCATTATCTTTCTTTCCTCATTAGATTTAACTTGGAGAAAGAAAAAATTGGATCTAATAACTTTGAACAGACTTTATTATCTAGTTATGGCAATATTAGAATTTATAATCAGGACAAGAGATAKAAGTTCACTATATACAAATGTAATACAAATACATTGTTAGTAAAAATAAATATGCCTAATGTGTGACCATAATGAAACAGTATATTAAAAAATTTCTGAAGTTGAATGTGAAATACATGYATTTACAAAGCAGTATAACATTTGAAATGTTGCCAGTAATGCATTTTATGTTCCAGATTCATTCTACTTTGCYCGTCTTACTCTCCTGTGGGTACTGTACAACACACAAAATGTTATTAGCTGTGTATTACCTTCAGTTGACTAAAAGGTTCTCACTGCTTTCTTGAACTGCTGTGGTTCATTTTAGTGACAGYCTCTATTCATCTTCCTGGCAAGTTCCAAATCCTGCCATTTAYGTGATATGGTTGAACAAGCTCAGACTAAGCAGCCCCTCACTGGAGCATCTAATTAAAAACTTTAATTCTAGAAAGACTCTTCTACTATATATGATAAATATATAAATGAGTTGGTACATAATGCTTTGTTATTGCATCAGATGGCATTTAGTGTYAGTTATGTTCATTAAGTGTTTAGAATTTTCACCAATGCAAAAAAGCTTGTACTTCATAGCTTCATCATCAGAAATAAATGTAGATATGTATGAGGGTTCTTAACTTCTGTAGAGAGTTACTCAGTTTTAAAATTTCACAATTTATATGTAGAAAGTGCCAATACTATTAAAATTATGATCTCTAATTTTTTAAATCCTGATTTATTTTGGCAGTGTGTGTGTGTGTGTGTGTGTGTGTGTGTGTGTGTGTGTGTTTATTCTTAAAAACCTCAAAGTGATTTTGAACTAGACTCTGACTGAGGGCACTGATGCAGTAAGCAAACCCTGGTGAGAGAGTAGGAAGAACTAAACAATTGTTCCCAATACTGCTAACTACTAGCACAAGGTATGTAACTTCTTTATTACTCCCTATTATAAGTTACAGATAAGAACATCTACATTACCTACTTCACACTGGGTTTGTGAGGACACAGAAATTTGCTTTGGAAATGTGCTTATAAGATATTGTACTATTTTGTATTTAAAACATTTTGTATTTAAATTGATTTCCTTCACTTAAAAACTAAATATTCAGCACATTTTTATGGTTTGAATTATTTATTTCTTAAACACTAATGTTCAACATGAATAAGCCAATCTTTTGTATTAAATAAAGAAAAACATTAAAAAAAGAAAAGAAAAGAAAAGAAAAACTGTGAAGTAAACTTTCTGAAAATAGCAACTTGGAAGAGAAATCTGATGGACAGCTGAAACTGTCCTCACAGGTTCAGTCATAACCCAYGCAGACATAACACAGGAATCCCTACCTGTCTTCCTTTATTCTTGCCAGCAAGGGCTCCAGCCACCCTAATGTGCATTCACAGTGTGCATCCAGAAAAGTTATGACCTGCCCTTTTGAAGCAGCTGCTCCTCGAAGACGGGCTCGTATTAACCCAGAGCGCTCTTCCATCCTGATAATTTTTACTGGTACTTCTAAATTTTTCACATAATTCTCTAATGTCAACTTGAGAAAATCTGTAACATGCAATGAGAATTTTTTTTTTATTTCAAAAAAAAATTGAAAGTTTTAAGACAGAGTAGAGATACTTTCAAGGCAGAAATACAACATACAGAAATGGTGACCAAATCTTAGAATTTTTTTTTTTTTGCACTAGGGAAAATAATATAAGAAATTTCAGTAGTTAATTAATGTTATATATTCAGTGATATAAATTTTAAATATAAGCAATTAATGGGAGGAAAAAAGAAATATATTTGAAAGTCATTTTGGCTGAWCTCTTAGGTTAATAAAGGCCAAAAAGAATAATAACAAAACTGAATTAGTTAATTTTTCCTGGAGGGAACACTGTCAAAATATACTGATGAAAATTTGATAGGACGTTGATTGGTTATAAAGCAAAATACAGATCATTGCTTGGCTATCTTTTTGACCATAATAAAGCTTTATAATAAAATAAGTACAAGAAAAATATTTTATACCTCTTTCACTGGCATCATCTACCAAGATGACTTCAGAGAGCAAGTAGTGTGGGGAGCGATTTATAACACTGTAAACAGTTCTAAGGAGAGTGCTCCAAGCCTCATTATGAAACACAATGACTACACTTGTGTTGGGAAGTTCATCAGGGTAGACTTTTGTCTTGCATCTGGAAAAGAAAAAAAGAAGCAGAATGTTAATAAATTCATTTTTCATTCTGATCATCATGAGAAAAAGTATTCATAATAACACAACTTTAGACTTGAAAGCCCCTTACCAAGGAAACATTTTATGAATATCTGAAATCATTTTCCTTTTTTAAATGTGCTATGAGTAATCACTTGGCCTTTTGAAAATTAAATATGCATAATTACTAATATTTTATTTTAACTCCTGCAGAGAACAAAGCAGCATGATTTCCACAAGTCTAAGAAAAAAAAAATCTGAGAAATCTAAAATAACATTCTGAGACTGTCAATAAAAGACCCAGTACAACAGAGACAGTTGAATTCATTTAGTGGCTGTAATTTTTATTCTTTGTTTGGGAAAAAAATAATATTATATAAGTCAAAAATTCACAAGAACATAAATAGACATGATTCTACAGGGATTTAAAGCATGTAAAATGGAGATTGCTTTTCTGTTCTAGAATCAAATCATGTATGATYTCCATTCCATTTGAAAATGCCATAAACCATGTCTAATTTCAAGACAAGGTTTGGGAGTCAAGATCTTGCCCCTAAAATTTCCTGTTTACTGGAGATCAGAAAAAAATAATTGACTAGCAGCACTTCTGAAATTTTAACGTGCATGGASACTGCCTGAGGAAAAGAGTGCGCTGTGACCTTAACCAGCACCTGGAGGGCCCACATTTGGCTCAATGGCAGCATCCTCTTTGGGGTGCCTGGTGCTAATCCACCTGCTGGTGGCCCTCCTCTGCATGGTCATGTGGGCTGTGGTCAATAGGATCTGGTGGAGCTGCCTGTAGTGGTGAGAGACCTCTCAGAGGTTTGGAGTCTCCCCTCATACATTTCTATGCTTGAGGTGCTGGGGAACCTSGGTCTACTGGTRGTGATTCTGTGGAGGCAAKGATGAGMCAGTCCTCATCAAGATCCCTAGTAGTGCTGTGAGGTCTCTCTCTGTGGGGCTTGCTCTTTGGGGCCTACCTGATGTCGCTGGCAATCTAGAACCCCTACCCTTYCCAGGTGTGTACCTCTGTAGGCATGGTCCTTGTGGTGTTGTTGTGGGTGCTATGTACAGGTATGTTCCCCTGTGTCAAGGTGGCAATTAGCTCCGTGCTGCCTGGTGGGGGGCAGCCGGCACTGATAGCAGCTGGCATGGCTACAAGCAGGTTGTCTCACTGCTTGGTGCTGTTACATGTTCCCTCCTACCAGCCTCTATCATATATTCCTCAGAGAAGACTGTGTGGACCTGTGTGGTCCCTGAGCTTGGAAAGGTGGGACTCTCCCCACCCTTTGCATGATTCTGTATTTCTAAATAGCTCCCATAATTCAGATGCTGCTGGTCTCAGGAAGACACAGATTCATGAAGAACAATAAAATGATTGTCATTATTTCTGACCTTCATGCTTTCAGAAAAWTTTTCAACTTTGCTTACACATCCAAATATGTTCAGATTTTACCTTTCAAGCAATTGCTACAAAAAGGTAGGTTTGATAAATAATATGTGCAATAGTCTAAGTGATCATGCCAGATTTCACATGCAGAGGGTATTCCCCATTAATTTGTCAACAATCAGACATTTCTGTCATGTAATTTTAAATCATCATGATTATAGAGTGCAAAATATTCCACAGGGCATCTGGAGCAAAAGAGAAGTATATTCACGTTAAGCAATTTTTTTTAAAAATATAAGGTACGGAGGGCCTAAACAATGAAAATAATTGTATAAGATAATATAAACCAGATACCCCCTGCTACTTGAGACAATCTATTATATTACATGACACAAAGTGGCATTATTAAAATTTGTTTACTTCACAAGTTAGTGAAAAACCCTAATAAAATGTTGGAGATGAAGGCACATAATAAAACAAAATATATTGTGTGCCTGTCTCAAATGATCTTCTAATCATTTAAAACAGCCTAAAAATGGCCTGTTCATTGAAATCTGCACAATACTCAGTTAAGAATGGGCATAACCCACAATCAYAACAATTTTCAGCATATTTTTATTTAAAAAGTATTTACTAAGTATCTACAATACAAAAGATGYTGTGCCCTAGAAAATCAAAATGTAAATTTTGGAAGAAGCATTTGAACTCATATCCATCTCTTCCTGTTCTGGTGGTAAAATTCAATTGATCTCCCTTGCCTGTTCATCATTTGACTTGTRTCTCCAGGCAGCTCAACATGATGTGGCAGAGAAAGCCATTTAGGTAGGTGAGATGGGCTTGGCTCTTTAATTTTATCCCTGTCCTCAAAACCTACTGTTCTGACTTAACAAAAAATCCCATTACTTTCAGCATGCCAAGCACAAAGTATGACAGAGATCATCATAAATAAATAATTAAATTTGGAAAAAATAGGATGTAGACTGTCTAATAGTCAGCAACCACAGACTTGACCCAAGACTTTAAGTGAATAAAGTGTTCTCAATGTCATTTAGAATAAAAGTRACATTTTTTAAAATAGAAATTTCATTGGTTACACTAAATGCCAACTAAGAACATATGGATGAGATATGAATATAGATAAATTATTTAAAATATCAAACTAAAAGCAGATATTTAGGTCCAACATTTTAAACCATTTATCAAGTTTATTTTTGTGGTTAAAAAATTCACTTACAAGTGTTAATTTTATATTCATTATATGTATCAAAGTTATAATGAGCTAATTTACTATTAATGTAGCTACTGTATTAACTTAGAGCAAATATCCACTGTCATTATTTAATGTAGCATAAAAATAAAATGTGAATAATAGGTTTATTAATTCTTCTTCTTCTTATATAAACAGTCATTCATCAAAGAGAATAAAGTTTCAGTATATTAGATGAATAAATTCTAGAAATCTAATGTATAGTACAATGATTATATTAATGATTTTGCACTATATACTTAAATTGTACTAAGAGAATTCATCTTGCTTTCCTACCACAAAAATTATAGTGATACATTGAGCTGATTATTTTAATTAGCTTGATTATAGTAATCATTTCCTAATAGTTATGTATATCAATTCTTCAAGGTTTACATCTAAGTATATGCAATTGTTATTTTTCAAGTATACTGCAATAACTTTGGAAAATGTCATTTATCAGAGAAGACTTAGTTAATAATAAAATAATTAGTAGGATAAATTTTAAGCTATACACATTAAATATTTTCTATGTCACTTTATCCAGTTATCTCAAATGCACACATCTGTAAGAACAAGAGTTATAATTTTCATGATATCTAATGGATTTGTGATATATTGCACTGGTGTGAATTTTTGTATTTTATCAAAGTCAYTGTGTTCTAAATTACAACATGATTTTATGTACCACTTGGAAAGAAAAATAATGCTGCCAAATAAACTATAGCACAATTTTCTCTTATCAGTAGAATCTACTTAATACCTAAATAGAGAGAGGGATGCCTTGGCAAACATCTGTAATCCCAGCTATTCAGGAAGCTAAGGGAGGAGGATCACTAGTTCAAGGCCAGCATCAGCCACTTAGAAAAACTGTCTCAAAAAAAAAAAAAAAAAAAGCCTAGGGATGTAGCTCAGTCGTACAGCACCTCTAGGTTCAATTTTCCGTACCACAAAAGCAAGCAAACAAATACCTAAGTTAAATAGAGCTTACAGAAGAGCTTTCATTTGGAAATTGATGTCAATGAATATTGCCATCTTAATTTTTGAGTCAACCACATAGTGTCCTGGTGCTTTTCAAAGTTTTTTTCACCAGTTTCAAGCTGCATTGCATAGCAGATGGGAGACAAATGCTCAGTTCATATCTCAGTAGTAAAATATAAAAGTTTTACTCWGTGGATATCTTGTGTGGTACAATAAAGTTTTTCTAAATTTATATRAAGTGATTTTCAAACTTTAAGGTAAAAATGAATTATATAGGGATTTTGTTAAAACCCAGATTCTGATTTGTAGATCTGAGATGAGCCCATGGTTCAGCATCTCTAACAAGATCCTTAGAGATGCCAACACAGTTGGTCCCGAGTTGACATAAAAAGCAAGGTTACATAACTTGCTTAGCTGATGATTAGCAAAAAAAGATTAAAAAAAAATACGGAATTGTAGTCAATGTTTTAACAGTAAAATGTTTGCTTCATCATATGAAATTTAATTTTGCTACAATTTTGTGCCTTTCTTTTTAGACAATTCTTTATTCTAGTCTAAATCATAATGCAATCAATATGAAGTGTCAATTGACAATTTCAACACATATAAAGAGTACACATAACAGAACTGACACAAAGAMTATACAAGCAGCAAGAACCATGTTCACACATGCTTAAGAAATACTGCCTATGTATCTCTTGCCAACTGGTTGAAAATATTATAACTAACTATTGATTATATAACTCATCATGATTTTAGACATGCAAAATGAAAAAAAGTGTACAGCTCATAACAGGTAAATATAATGTTTTGATTTAACATGCTGAAGAAAAAGTACTCCATGTAATGTTTATTTTAGAACATGCCGTGGGCTGGGGATGTGGCTCAAGSAGTAAYGCGCTGGCCTGGCATGCRTGGGGYGCTGGGTTTGATCCTCAGCACCACATACAAATAAAATAAAGATATTGTGTCCACTGAAAACTAAAATARATAAATAAAATAAATATTAAAAAAWT